CTCTCCTAAAGGTCACTGCCAAGGTCATCTCCTGCCAACCATGCAAACTGCCTTCCAAATTTTACCTCGTTCCAACTGACCACAGACACACAGGCATGCACGCGCACACACACACACACACACACACACACACACACACACACACACACACACACACACACACACACACACACACACGCGCGCATTTAGCACAGTGAAGAAAACTTGAAGTATGGATGCTGTATCTCATGGGTACATTTTTTGCAAAGACACAAAGATGATGTAAATTCCCCAAATTCCATGTCTCATGATCTCAAATCTCATGCATCATTTTCAATGTTTTCCAATTCCTCACTTTTCCAGACAGGATTCCTACCTCTGTTGCCTGTTTTCACAGCCTTCCTCAGATACCATGCAGGTTATGGCAAAAAAAGTCCTACTTAATCTGGGGTCAAACAGGCAAACTATTGGGCAGTCCCCAGACCTTGAAGTGAAAATGTTAATGACTTTTATCAACTCTTATTGGCCTCTTAATAAACAGCGTTATTATTAAGTGCTCTCAGTCAAATGAGATTATTTCAATGTGACCTGTGCAATAGCGTCACTATATGATACGACTTCCCACAACTCCAGTACTTGTGAATAATTCACAGGTATGTACCTGTTCTTGCTTTTTTTCAGTCTCTACCTGTTCAGCCTGGCAGATTTTTAAAGCAATCCAAAGAGCAACAGAATGAGCACGCCGCCCGAAACCAGCTATACCCTCCCTTCCCGCTCTGAAAGCAGTGCCAGCTCCTTCCTGCCAGCGCATCACATGAGCGAGCCCTGTCTGGGAAAGGAGTCACGCCGGCCGTTACGGGCGAGCATATAGCAGTGACATCATGCTATTCGTTTTACACCGGCCCATTCACATCCCCCCAGGCACGCCAGCCACGGCCGTTGGAAAGTGACAGCCCCGCGCTAAATTAGCAGGACTAACATCTGAGAGCGCAGGATTAGCGCTGACAAAAAATAAATACATCAATAGACCTCGGTGGCCTCTGCCTTTTAGATATTTATACGAGTACGACTATATACTATATATATATATGCACACAGAAATGCGTGTGTGATTTTGACCACCGTCTCGTGCCAAAAAGCGCCTCCACTTGAATGTGGATCGTGAGACGCGTGAATGACGGACAGGCCCAGGGGAGGAACACACACACAATACATCTCTAGATGGTCCATCCTAAAACAGAGCTCCTGTGTTCTTAACTGGGCGAGGTCCTGGGGTGACGCCACCCTCAAGGGCCTGAACTTTCCATACAGGCAGATTCCATTAGACTGAGTGCGGCCACACCTTTTAGCGCGTTGGCAGAATGAATGCTAGCATTTACATTAGGGCATGGCACATCGTGGCCAAAGGCATGCCCATTGTCTTCCCGCTGCCTACCTAGCATCCAGTCCTGCCAATCTCTGTGCTATTAACTTTTGGGAAAAAGCCCTTGTCATGTGTGTCTATGTTAAATGAGTAAATGAGTCCTGTGAATATCATAACCTGATAAATAACCCAAATGCTGCAAGCACAGCCATGAGAATTTAACATGGTTTCTTCTGTATTGGCAGCATTGTCTACAAAAGGCTTGATTGTTGTTGAGTATTTCCAAACCATTGATTATAACATAAAATTTCATTTGTCTTCATATTTTAATACAGCATTACATATTAAAATGGGTTACCACTTGCTTTTTAAAAATGTTTGAGCCATATCCAAGACATGATTTTTTTGACACCATCCTCACTTACTAATTGCATAATTCAATCTAGCTGGAGTGACAGCTGAACAGTCGCATTTCAGACCACATATTACATCTGGATACAAGCAAGCAATCTAGCTAACTTCCCTTAGCTACAGCTGTTGAAAAATGCCATGCATAACAACCTGAAAACCAAAGCAACAGACTGCATATGTTTACAGCCCGTGAGAGCTCAGATGATTACTGCTTTAGTATTTCTTTCTTATTAAAACGTGCAAAGTGTTTTCAAATTCATATCACTTACAAAATGGCAAACTTGCTAGTAAATTCTGAGGAAAAAAAAGCTGTGACCTTTTGTTCATTTGATCATCATCTATGGTGTCATACAGAACATAAAAATATCCACTCTCCTTACAGTATGACTTCACGCATCAGGGCTATTTTTCCTCTGACAGTAAGCAGATCCACAGGATGAGGCGAGGCAGTTAATCTCCACTGAAACTTTTGGTGCTCAGTCTTAATATTAACAGGCTGTCAAATGCCTCAGCTCAAACCCATCATTTCACACTAACGGAGAAAATTTCCATGACATTTCCATTTTTGTGCCCGATTTAAGCTGAGAAACCGGGCTACTGTGGTGGCAAAGGAGAGCTCAGAGTTTGGGGATGGCGTGTGAGCGTCTATGCGTGATTTTTTTGGGGGGTGCGGAGGTGATGAGCGCAGGACCTGGAGGCTGGCTTTCAGGGAAATAGGATCCCATCACTGTGGCCTGCGCTCGGGACCCGGAGCCTGCTGATCCCTGGCCCCTCTCCAGCCAGCGCCGTGTGTCGGTTTCAGTGTCTTGAAAGACGCAACAGGGTGAAGATTTGAAGCGCTGAGAGAAACTTGACACCGCCGGTTCCACCCGTCTTTCTCACTGGCACAGACAGCTGACCCCGGGGGAGACGGCAGACGGGTGACACCCCGAGAGAGGAGACGTTCAGCTCTCCCGCCACGTCATCCCTGTTGGACGCGTCCCACAACGACGCCCGAGTGCCCTTCTCACGAAATAATTAAACAGAAAACTCCTCGCCCCCAAATCTCAGACACCAGGGAATTGCATTAATGGAGTGGAAGACACTGGAGGTACAGCATTATGGAGACTGGCAGCAAAGCCCTTCGAAAGGGAAGATCATTTGTTAGAGTTATGGTCAATACTATTGATGTCATGCTTCACTGTCAGCAATATTGTGTCCAGTGAAATTAGCCTTAGTGCTAACCCCAATCCCGCTGGGTACTCTATTTCACAGAGCTGACAGCACAAGGCATGCCCTAATTTCCTGGAATGTATTTGTTATTTCACAACATGACAACATACGGTCAGCATGAGAAGGCTTTAAGGGTCATTTTGAAATGGGGGGCGGGGTATGCAAGTGAAAGTGTGAACTTGCATTACATGGATGGAGTTTTTTTTTTGGCCCACATCACCCATATATTAGGGATAGCAGGAAAACAACATTTAAACAATAGGAACAATTGAGACAAAGAGAACAAAAACAAATGATCAAATAATAATAATAATAAAAAAAATTAAAACAACCTTTTCATGCTCAACTGTATACGCTGTTTTTCCTAATTAGTCACTAATTGAACGGCCTGATTTTCATCACAATAACAAGCTGTCTATGGGCCTGTGGAACAATCCCTGTGTATGGGTGAGAGAGCAGGGCTTGTTGTGGGGGGGGTGGAATGGAGTGGACCATGTCATATTGATGGAGGCCCGATCCCCCTGCAAGGACCGCCGGGCCAGACCAGGCGCAGCCTGAGCCTGCACAGACCTGCTGGCCCGCTGCCACGCTCTCTCCCCACAATGGGGACGGCAATTAGAGCCCTAATCTGTCACTGCACGCTCACACACCACTGCCCACTTCCAGTCCCGCTTTACATAACCTACGCCCGATTCAGAGGAACAATAACAACGCGGCCTGCAGCGAAAGCGCCGCCGGAGCTGCCGTGCGTGATGCAGTCACGGACATCCCTATTAATGTATTTATCCATTCTCATGCCTCACAATGCTGCTTATTAATCCTTTGTGCACATTCAGCTTCCAGCGATGAAATTGCACTGGGCTTGAGCACAGCGTGAGTCATTTGACGGTACGCTGTGTACTGTAGCATAAAGCACGGTGACCAGAGGCAGTACCATTATTCGTCCCCGGGGTGGCAAAGTGCTCTTCCTCTGGTGGAGGCGAGCTTCTGAAGAATGTGCTGGTGGTCAGGCCCTCCCACTTATCAACGCCCTTTACACGGTCTGCACACTCGCCACCCAACGCCATTCCTCTGCACTGCTCCCCTCTGGGCTGGGAGACGGGGCAAAGGTCCCCAGGCCACAGCGCTGGGTTATTACAGGGGAAACCGAATCTAAGGGTCCAGCTGTCTGGGAGTGCAGTGCTCCTACTTGTGAGGACATAACCCTGACCCAATCCGGGGGGGCCCAGAAGCAGCAGCAGCAGCGGAGGGCCTGGCTGGATCCTCCACCTCCATCAGCCAAGCCTGATTTTATTTGAAAAGCCGCCCAACAGCACAGAGCGAGAAGCAGCCATTAGCCAGCGTCTTGCTGGGACCGGGGGTTTCATGTGTCGCATTCTCGTCCCACAGAGCCAGTCTTTTTCAGGATGGACACTCCACTGACGGATTAGTGCAAGAGGAGAAACTCCCCATACACACATACACACACACACACTCACATGGCCCCGCCCCTTGGTTCCATTCCGCAACGTCTGTTAACACTTCAGGGATGTCTTCATTATGGCAGACGTGACACCATGCACGTTCTTACCCCCTTCCCTCAGCCTCATCCGCGCGATGCCAGGGCCGCAACACCCCGCGCCTGCCGGTTTGGGCACAGGTGCTCGTGCATAACGGTGGCGGGAGCCAGATACAGGACCGATAAAGAAACACAAAACTCGCAGTGTTTGTTAACACAGCCCCTCTGAGCACCTTGAGTCATCAGGAGATAGATCTCTGTCAGCCAGGAGAGAGTCTCTACATCAGCACGGAGCAGGGAGGGGCGGCCAGCTCGTCAGCTGACCGCATTTGCATTGGACGATACACTTCAGTCACCGAGCCATGACCAATTTCATTATCGCAAGGACAGTGTCAGGCACAGCAATGACAAACACTTTTGGGCTGATTTGGCCAAGCTCAACTAAACGCAGACAATGCCTCTTACACCCAAAAAAATCAGAATCCGTTAAGTTCTGCTGGGTGCAAACACACAGTACTACTACTGCAAGTGTGGAGAGGCAGTGTGGTCTAGTGGTAAGGAGCAGGGCTTGTAACCAAAAGGTTACTGGTTCGATTCCCTGCTGAGGCACTGCTGCTGTACCCTTGGGCAAGGCACTTAACCCACAATTTCCTCAGTAAATATCCAGCAATATAAATGGATAACATGTCAAAATTGTAACCTACGTAAGTCACTCTGTAAAAATTGCTAAATGACAATGACAATTAATAACAAGTAATATAATGTATTGTACTGTTTGCATCCCGGTCATTCTTAAAACTTTGTGAAAATACCTAGATCTGGTGATGTTGCTTACAATTACACAGAGAAACACCGTGCTCTCTACTCGATCCACTGTGTGTGCGTGTGTATGTGTTAGGGTTGGTCTGCGTGTGTCATGCATGTGTGTCAACAATGAGCAGCTGACAACAGAGGAATTTTAACAAGGTGTTGCCACATTAAGTGCAGTAGCAGGAGGTCCGGTGATGTGAAAAGGCCTCCTTTGAGCCGAGGCTTCCCTCTGCCCAAAAACACATGGAGTTCGTTAGAGGGACACAGATGCTGTCGTTTCCCATAATCGGTAAACAGCGGAGTCTGGGGAGTACTCAAGAAGAAAAAATCAAAAATAGAAACGGAGAGGCACAGGCCTGTCCAACTTTGGTGGAGTCCACTTTTCAAGATGTGCTCTAACAACCTCTCAAGCTCCAGCAGACAACATGACAGGTTTCAAAATGAAAGGAGGACAGAAAAGCTGGCCAAGCCGGGGCCTTGCATGCTCGGCCCCAAGCCAGCTTATTTTCCAAGTTGTTTTTGGCTGTGTTTCACCTCTGACCTCCGGTGGCTCTCTTAAACAAGACCAACAAATACAAACAGTCTGGCGAGTTGATTCCCTTATGAAGCTAACTGGCAATCTCTCTCGACATCTGACCTGACAGTACCCAGCAGTACCCAGGAGTACAAACTCACACAGAGAGCCAGAAATGTTACTCCATATCAGCACAAATACTGACAGTGACTGTAAAAGGCCATGCTGCTTCAACATTTACGAAATTTCAAAACTGTCTTACAGCCTATGATCTCAAATATATTGAACACAGGTATTACTGTTCTAGGTAATTTATATACCCTGGTTAATACTGTCAGTTGTTACTGTTGACTGTAGGCTTATGCAACAGCACATTAATGGGTCTCGCCTTAAAGTGAAGACAACAGAAAAATGCACATTTGTGGCCAAATGCTTAGTCCTTGACAGTATGCAGGGAGTATTTTGCTGTCTTTTTCACTGTTGTTTAAAGCACTGAGGTGTTTCCTCTTCCATTTCTAATGCACATTTCTTTTCTGTCATTTTGACTGTCCCTGTAAAAACACAGCATAGCACATCCAATATTGGACACATTAGCCTTCACCATTTCTCCAACAAACCTTCAGAACCTCCCTGCACCACTTCTAAGCAAAGACACATGATTATAGATCCATTCTGATATTGATTTTGGTGGCAGTGTAGCACAGTGGTTAAGGAGGAGGACTCGTAACCACAAGGTTGCCAGTTTGATTCCCCGCTGGAACACCGCTGCTGTACCCTTGGACAAGGTACTTAACCCACACTTGGCTCTGTAAATATCCAGCTGTACAAATGGATAACATTGTACAAAACTGTAACTGTAAAGTTGCTCTGGATAAGAGCGTCTGCTAAATGCCAATAATGTAATGTAATGTAATGTAGCATAACCTACGTTCTCCAGAACCCAACACAGCTGCCTCACCTGCATTAACCGCACACCACACACACACACAATGTCTGACTCAGTAACAGCAGCACAACATGCACTAAGTACAACTGCGTCTCTGTCACTTCACTTGGCTTATCACTTTTCAGGTTTGGGAGCAGCAGATATTTAGATCTGCTCCTTCTTGCTGTGACAGATACTACTGACACCATCAGTGCCAAGAAATCCCCGCTGCCTCTCTCTCACACCTTGCGTTAAAAAGCTGCTAAGACCGCACAGCGAGATTCGAAAAATAAACGCGGCCCCTTAACCACTACGAGGTGCCATGGTGTAGCAAGCTGGCGATGTTGGTGCAACTGCTGATAACACTACTCGAGAAAGGCCCAAAGGCCACGCAAACAGCAATAATCTCCGCCGCTCTGAGGAGTTTCCACTGTGGTCAAGTGCAGGCTGGGTATTTACAAATGAGATTTGAGGATCTCTAGTACTTACATCATCTGGTTCCATGACATTAGATTCCAGTTCCAGATTAAAGGCTATTTCTATCTGCTGTGCTGAGGGGAAAAGCATTCTCCTTACGCACAACGCCAAAAGAGTATGTAGCTTCCAGGAAAAGCCCTCTGCTGGTCTTCCTTACAGACTTCAGAGTATTTTATATATATGTATATGCATATACATACAGATATATACGTGTGCGGGTGTATGTATATATGTTCCTGATATATATACATAAGGAAAAGTGGTGCACCAAATCCTCTGCTGTAGTATGTCATACCAGCAGTATGCTGCTGCTCCACACGTGAACAGAGGTGCCCTGAATTTCCCAATATGGCACATCAGTGGGAAAGGCATACCAGAATCCCTGACTCCAAAACAAATCCCACACGTTATTCAATACATCTGTAAGTGTGTGAAGTGCCATTTTGTTGATGGCAGTGTTCTGGATCCCCACCTAGCCCATTTCTCTGCAAATGCTAATCATACTGTGGAGGACATCCCATCACTGCTCATAACAGCACAATAGTTTAGAGATTCCTATAGCACATAAGATGGTAAAAGGATGTTATTTAAATAACTGCCAGAAATGTTGTTTTAATTTTGCAAAGTACACATGTACAGAGCTAAACAAAGTAGCTAATTAGACTTGAGTAGCTAATTTACAGTCAGATGTGAATTATATTTCCTATTAGCACATGCTGGTAGCTGCTCAAGAAAACATAAGAAATGATCAGTGTTCAACAATGATTTCCATTTCATATGAAAAAGTATATTCACCTGTTTTCATATGCCCAAAAGGCATACATAGAGGACTACATAAAACATCACAAATCTTCCAGCTTGTTCTTATGTTGGATTTTACAACAGACTCAAAACCATCTTTGATGCTATTACACATCTTGACTGCTGTGCATCAAATGAGACTACGAAGCCTCATTTCAATGGGTCTTGATTACGAGAACTATAAGAGAATGGTTCTTGAAGATGAGCACACGCTCATACTGCATTGCATTGTCTTAGGCTGCAGTAAGTCAAACAGATGAGCTGAATGCAGCGCTGTAGCTTAATGTTGTTTAAGGGTCTGATTACAAGGCAAACCTGTAACACATCGTCAAATTGCCACAGAAGGTAGAGGTGTGCCTCCAAGAGAGGCCTGAGGCAATTTTGCAAACTAAAAAGAAATTTACTGAACTTGAGCCTCAACTTATCTTGAAGTTCAACAATGAAGAAAGTCAAGAACAAATCACCCCAGATTGTTTCTTTGGGGCTTCAGGTGTTTCAGGACGTGATGTTACTGTCCTCCCGGCACTGAAGGCATAAGCAAAACAGTGTGGACTGTGTGGATTGTGGACCGCTGACTGGAGCAATTCACAGCTGCTTTATGTCAGTCAGTGCTGCTGCATGCACATTCTTCCAGCCACTTACCGACGTTAAAGCACGAGAAATGCACTATTTCTCTCTGGGAAAAAACAGAGCAATATTACTTGGTGGGGTCCTTGCTTGGAAATTGGACTCCCTAAAAAGTCCTGAACAGACAAAAAGAGGGAAAAGTGAAAACAAAAGGGCTGATAAATCCATATTAGAAAATTGCTGTAAGTATAACATATACCACCTTTTAAAACTGAGAGATTACAAATACTGTAATGTCATCAGTGAACACGAAGGTGATGCAACCTGCACTGAAAATAAGACCTGGCAGACAGTAGCAGCAGTAGAGCACAGCTGCTTATCCCTCGCACGCTTTAATATGAAATTCACGAGAGATGGCTGTTAAGTACTGCAAGCCTCTTTCAAATCTCAACCCAAAACATGGATGTACTTTTGTGGCTCATTCGCAGACAAAACTTTAGTCACAGAGTCCCTACTACAATAAACAGCAGGGTAGAAAAGCAAGATCTTCCCCTACAGATTTACAACTTTAGAAGCAAGAGCTAAGTACAGAGAAAGGCAGTACCTTGTTCTGCTGCTTAACAGCGCACTGAAGGTCCATCTGGACCAGAGAGAAGAAAGAACACTGAAAAATAGAGAGGCATGCAGGCAAAAAAAAAAACAACACAAAGAAGAAGAGGCTAGCTCTCCACTCTTTTCAGGATCCCATTGGCATGATCACCAGTCAGGTACAGGTACTTACTGTAGCAGAGGAAGGTCCTGCAGTCAACTTTTCCACTTTCACCTCTCCTTCTGGAAATGCTGAAGGCATGAACAGGCATAATCCTCTATATTCCCAAAATTAAGTAAGACTGCCTCTTGGACCGACGGGCGGGTGCAGTGAATTTGAGTCAAAATAACCAAGCTAAATCCCCCCTCCTTCAGCGTCCGAAAGCACAATTGTGGTAGCGCCCGCAATTGAGTTCACGCTTGAGTAGTCAGCGAAAGAGACAGCTGAGAGGAGGGGAAAAAAACAAGCCCGGCTGTCATGTGGACCTTTGTTTTGACAAAATATCTAAGAGGGAGTGGAAACTGACAGAGCAAGAGAGAGAGCGAGAGAGAGAGAGAGCAAGCAACTGAGACAAGGAGAGAGAGAGGTGACCCCTCTAAGCCTCTTTTCTGCTGTGACAGTCCTGTTTGCAAGCAGGGGTGGCTAGATTAGGGCTCTGCCTCCACTCCAAATCTATTCTCTGACTGCTGGCCCCGGGGCATTAATGGGCTAATTTTAGCTGGCGTCTACCTAGGATTTAGGGGACACTGTTTGAATTAAGAGAGGTATGAAAGTGAGCATGGATGCAGCAGGCCTATCAGGATTTAAGGAGTCTGAGTGCAAACAAATTAGTCCATGCCATTCCAATCATCTATTAAATTTTTCCAAATATGAAGCACAGTAGGGGGCTAAAACAAATACTGCAGAACATATTCCCACATCTTACCCTGCAG